TCTCATTTCACAGGGTTTTCTTAGGCAAGAAATACTCTGAGGTGGTTTTGTAAGTTTCGTCCTCACCTACAGCACCTGGGATTCCTTGGCGGTCTCTCATCCAGGTACCATCCAGGGCTGACCCTGCTTAGCATCCAGGGATCTGGTGCCTTGAGGATATTTAGACCTCTCCTACCCCTCTCTCCAAAATCTCTCGCTATTCCTCAAAGGAATATATCTTTGAATTCTATTCCTCAAAGGCTAGTCATAAAGTTTTTTTTATCACAAACAGTTCTTTTATGTATCTGGGTATCCTTTTTTTAACAAAAATATTTTTATTAAAATTCTGTATGCACACACAACAATTAAATGCATCAAATAAAAACACATTAAACGACATTAAGTCAAAATTAAAAGAAAGATAGAAAAGAAAATAGGCATTAAAGACAAGACAGGCTACACTACAACTGGTGTGTGTTTGTGTGTGTTTGTGTGTCTTCACATTGCCTATGAACATAAGGGGACCCCATGAATTTCATAGGGTTTTCTTAGGCAAGGAATCCTCAGAGGTGGTTTTGCCTATTCTTTCCTTGGAAATAGAGCTCAGCGCCTGGGATTTGTTGATGGTCTCCCATCCAAGGACTAATCAGGACCAGCCCTGCTTGGCTTCCAAGATCAGATAGGATCTGGTGCCTTTACAGTGTTAGGGAATATATATATATATATATATATATATATGTATGTGTCTTCAAGTCTTCTTTTGACTGATGGTGACCCCATGAATTTCAGAGGGTTTTCTTAGGCAAGGAATACTAGAGGTGGTTTTGCCGGTTCCTTCTTCTACAATATAGTCAACAGCACCCGGGATTCATTGGCGGTCCCCGTCCAAGGAGTCACCAGGGATGACCCTGCTTAGCTTCCAAGATCAGATGGGATCTGGTGCTTTTAGGGTGTTTAGGCAATATGTATGTAATGTGCCTTCAAGTCTACTGTTGACATGAATTTCAGAGGGTTTTCTTAGGTGAGGAAGACTCAGGGGTTGTTTTGCCTGTTCCTTCCTCTGCAATATAGCCAACAGCGCCTGGTATTCATTGGTGGTTTCCCATCCAAGTACTAACCAGGGTGGGCCCTGCTTAGCGTCCAAGATCTGATGGGATCTGGTGCTTTACGTAGAAATGGCATGGGGTTCATCTGGATAGATACTGTTATATACCTTTTTACTTGAAGATCCTATTGAGTTCCTTCCTAGCAAGATAGCCCTATCTCTCCTCAAATGATCTGTCTGGCCGTTGCAGGGCTTTTCTTGGCTAAGTGTTTGGTTCTGTTCTTGGGATTACTGGCCTGTGTCCAAACCCCAAGATGGTCCATGACTTCATTGCAAGGGGGCAAATCAACACCGCATGCTCAACCTCCTTCTGAATGCATGCTCCTCTCCTCCACCTATAGCAAGTGTTTTCATGGCGATCCCAGTCATTATCTGCCGTCAAAGTGCATGAAATTGTGGGCGAGTCGTGGTTCATTCTCCATTCAGCGTTCCAAGGAAATCAATGATACAGATTTAATATGCTGCTCCGGCTACGTAGGGAGGAATGAAATCCTCATAAGTCTCCCGAAACAAAGAACACACAAATGCAGCTTAGTCACCAGCAGCTAAATCAAGAGGTCCGTATTCAAGAATGTTCCTAACATGTTCCTAAAGGAGCTTCTTCGGTTCCATGGCAAAATGGTTCCTGATCGCGGTGAATCCGGCCTGCATTATGAGTGAGCCGGAATGGAGAAGTGCAGGGTTTTCATGAGCTTCCAGCTTCGAAGGGTAAGCAAAGGAACTTGTAGTACCTTTGAGACCAACTGTGCAAAAAAAGTTGTAGCATAAGCTTTTGCAGACTTGGTCTACTTCCTCAGATGTATAGAGTGAACTAGTGCTCAGGATGGACCAAAGCTCTCATAGACTTGGCTTGCCTCCTTGATGCATGGAGTGAAATGGTGCCCAGGAAGAACCAAAGTTTTGGTAGACTTGAATCTACATCCTCAGGTGCATGGAATGAATTGGTACCCAGGAAGGACCAAAGATTTTGCAGACTTGGTGTACTTCCTCTGATGCATGGAGTGAACTTGGCCCAGGAAGAACCAAAACTTTTGTAGACTTCATCTATTTCCTCATATGCATGGAGTGAAGTGGTGCCCAGGAAAAACCAAAGTTTTGGTAGACTTAGTTTACTTCCTCAGATGTTTGGAGTGAAGTGGTGCCCAGGAAGGACCAAAACTTTGGTAGAGTTGGTCTACTTCTTCTGATGCATGGAGTGAACTGGGGGCCAGGAAGAACCAAAGCTTTTGTAGACTTCATCTACTCATAGCTTTGATAGACTTGGTCTACTTCCTCAGAGGCATGGAGTGAACTGGTGCCCAGGAAGGACCAAAACTTTCATAGGACGTTATCACACGGGGTCCAATCCAAACAGAATCCAAATGAAATCCCGACCTAATACGGATTATTTTCCCGTGTTTCCACACGACGTCGCACAGAACCCCGACA